TCTATATAGATCTAAAGAACAAATGGCCTTCGGCCTATATAAGAACTTAATAGTAAGAAACTATAATTTAATAAAATGATGCGAAGAGCAAGAAGAGCAACTGCACCTCGTGCAAGACGTAATTTAAAATCTACTATGGCAGGAAATTTAAAAGCTGCCTTCCAACAAAGAGACAGTACTCAAGTAGTATTAAATGCTACTGAGACTGTACAATTAGCTATTCCAGCTAATACTAATGGAGCAACTACAGTACGGAATGTAACTAAGTTGCTTTGTGGTACTGAATTCTTCCAACATTATGCTGGAATGTATGATCAATTTAAAATTGATGGTGTTTCAGTATCAGCTGAAATTGTATACAATACATTTGGTCAGGCTGCAATGACATTCCCTAATGTTATTACTGCATGGGATAGAAATGGTATTGATAAAGCTACTGCTAATGTAGTAACCAATCCAGAAGGAGGACAGAATCTAACTAATGTTCCAATTGTACCTGGACCATATCAAGTGAGTTCATATTCTAGTGCAGTAAGTAGAGCATATTATCCAGGTGCAAGATGGGGTATTACAAGAAGACTTATTGCTTCATCACTTCAAGAGAAGAGTATTTATCTTCCAACAGTTAAGACTGCTGAAGTATTGACTGAATCTACTTTATATGCTGCATGGAATCCTGATTTCCTTCTTTCTGTTCTTTTAGGTAATCAAACAGCTACATGCCAAACACTTGTATTTAATTTAACATGGTCATGGGTTGTTTCACTTAGAGGATTAAGAAAGAGTACACTTGATGTTATTCCAATTCCTAATGCTAATTCACTTGGTTATGCAGGAACTAATGCTGGTACTGTTGCAAGTGGAACAAATAATACTATGATTCCTGCTTCAATGAATGTTGCTAATAATGCTGGAGTGGTTACTGTCAGTAATCCAGTTTATACTACACAAGTACAAAATACTGGAGGAGTTATTTCTGTTGCTAATAATTCATGGACTCTTGATTCACTGAAGTTGTATTTGAATCAAGTTATGTATAATATGGGTATTAGTAATGTTAATGCAATTACATTTGATAATAGTAATTTACATGTTGTTGAAGCTAATAATTCTGGTGTTGCTATTAATTTACCTGCTGGTAGTTCTAATATATTGCCATGTGTTATGGTTGCATTTGCTACTACTATGACTCTTGGTAATGGTACTACCGGTTATAATTTAACTATTTTCTTATGTGGTAATGGTAATAGTAATGCCCATGTAATTAATGTTGCAACTGATGCTAATACATTTGTTGTTTATTCTGAACCATTTGCTGTTTATGGAATTAATCTTCCTAATCAAAGTGGAGCTACAGCTGAATCTGTTGTTACTACTGCCTTGTTAACTACTGTAGGAAGTACTACTACTAATTCACCTGCTATTATGTATGTAAATACTGATACAACTGCAGAAGCTGCTGTTACTGTTGCTGCTGGTTCTATGTTAACTGTTGCAGGTACAAATACTGCTTCTGTTGCTTATCCTGTTGTAGTTGGAAAGAATGCGTTTTTAAAAGTTGTTAATAGTAAGGAGTCAGTTATGAATAAGCTGTCCATTACGTCTGAATGTGCTTTCATTGTAGTTGAGAACATATGAGTATTGTTTTGATCCATGAGTCTTATGATATCTGAATTTTTAATTAAATAAAAATAGCTTTTTTCTGGGTAAAAACCGTAATTTTTTCCTTCTGCTGCTTCTTCTATTTGTAATCCTCCATCTTTATGTTTTATTATTGTTGTATCTCCTGCTCCTGTTGTGTCAATTCTTATTGGGTATGTTCCTAGTGGTTTTAGTAGTGCTACATTGTTTGTATATGTTAATTCTGTTGGAAATATTGTTGTATCTTGTAATGTATTTTGTATTTCGTTTATTGTCATTTCTTGTGGTATTAGATCGTAAGTTGATGAGTCATCTAATGAGTAATTTATTCCATTTATTTGAGGTATATTTATTGTTACGTTTACTTGATTCATGTAATATCCTTCTGGTCTTGGTATTTCATAGAAACCACTTTCTGTGAATGTTCTAGTTACTAAAGCTACTTGTGGTTGTACATTTGTATTTACTATTACTGCATCTAAGTAAGGTATACCATTATCAGGGGTAACTGCAATAGTACCATTTTCTGTAATATTAACTGTTTTAGTCTCGCTTGATGGGTGTACATCTGTTACTAATTTTATATTATTAATATAGTTATCACTTGTCAGTTGAATGGTTCCATTGTTTGTTGTTGTTATAGTTGGATTATCTATTGTCATATGAAGATTGTATGTAGTGTTGTTTATAGTGTCTTCCTTTCTTAATAATGTTAGAGTTGTATTAGAAACTAAAGACATTTAAATGAATAATAAAGATTAATTTAAAGTTTTATTTGTTATCTGAAGTGTTATTACTTGTTTTTGTTTTGGTTGAAATTTTAAAGTTACTTTTTCATAAGCTTCATGTACATTTGGTTCTAAAGTTATGTCTTCTCTATTATTAATGTCATCGTTTGTAATTGTATAGTTTAAATCTACTAGTGTTATGTCTGGATTAGGTTCAATATCTTCATCTTCTGTTGGAGTGCAAATATATCTATCGAATGAACATGTTATATACCATTGGAGATTGAAATCTATTATTTGGTCTTCTTCTCCTTCGTTTGTTTTATTTGTTGTTTCTACTGCTATAATATACCAAGGATAAAATGGGATAGTTACATTTTCATTTGTATAAGGATTCCAATATATATTATTTTCATCGTAAGTCCAAAAGCCTTCTACTCTTGTTGGTCCATAAAAGTTTTGTTCTTGAATAGTTTGAGCTTTAATGATTGTTGTTATTTGAAATGCTCCACCGGGGTAATAAATTTGTTGTTGTATATGACTACTATTTTGAACCATTTTTAATTGTGCTTCGGGTGTTGTTGTTTCATTTTCTGTTTTTATATATGTAGGGAACCATGAAACTGATACTGTTGGAAAGTTGAGTCCTATTTCTTTCATTTTAATATCAGATATGGATAATACTGCTAATGCTTTGTCTATTTTTACTCTTTTAAAACATTTACAGAAGGAATTAAAATTTGTGTTTTTGAATAAATCATAAAATATATGAGTTGTATCTATTCCGAAGTTTTTATTTTCTTTTATTAATACTCTTTTTTTAACATTAAATGAAAATTCAACTTGATGAGTATTTTCAGGACAATTATTACGTGTATGTATCATTTGAATATAAAGATGAACTTAAAAATTCATAATATGTCAACAGAAAGCAGTGATTGTCATCACTCTGAGTCTTGTGTTGAAAAGGTATTCAAAGATAGTACATGGAATGTAATTAGGAAAGTTGTTATGTTAGTACTTTCATGTATATTACTTATTGCTTCGTGTTTTTTTGCTTTTATTGAGAGTAGAAGACAAAATCAAGTTATGGATGGTATAGAAGAAGTGTTAGATGTAGTAAAAGTATTAATTCCTAATTAATTTATTTGTATCTTAATCTTTATATTTTAATTATGAGTTGTTTACATGATGTACTCCTTATGTTCATTCTTTTTACTTTACTTGTTTTATGTTGTTGCATGCATGGTTGTATTCGAGATGATGGTTCTGTTTCACGTTTATGTTGTTGTCCAGGATCTTGTCAATATCATGGGATTTGATGTTTAAACTCAATACTTAGTAACTTAATAATTTAATGTTTTTTGACTTATACGGTGTTCCACGTTTAAATTTACATAAGAAACGGTATGGTAGTTATGGTTCTATTCATGGTTGGTATGATAATTATAAATTTGTTAATAAGAAGCCATATACTTATCAACGTGTATATGATAGAAGTCCAAGTGATAAGAAGAATGAATTTGATAAAAGGTATAACAGAGATTATGATAAGAGGTATGAAGAGACTAAACCTAGAAGGCCCGATAGTAATAGACCTCAGCGTCCAACTAATAAGAGACCTACACAAGATAGAAGACCTTCTCAAAAGGATAAACCTGGTAATCGTCCTGAAAATAAACGACCTGTACAAGATAGAAAACCTACTAATCCAAATCGACAACCTGTTGATCAAAAGAAGCCTAGACAGCCTATTCGACCTGAACAAGGAAAGCCTACTAGTCCTAATAATAATCCTGCACAGAAACCATCTAAGATTGATGATAAGTATGATCCAGATTTAGGTAAGATTGTTGATAAAAAAATAAGAGAGATAGAAGATAGAACTGATAGTTTGTTTGATAAGGGAAGTTCTAGTAAGGAGAAGGATAGTTGGTGGAAAGATGTTAAGGATAGTATTGGTGATCGTGTTAAGGATGTTTCTGAACGTTTCCCTAAAGATTTGAAAAATGTCATTAAGAATAATCCCGCAGCTAAATTGGATGCTTCTTTAATTAGGGCTATGTTTGATAAAGGTATTAAAGTTGGTGGTAGTTTGTTAGGAACCGCTCTTACTGCTGCTGCTGGTGAAGGAGGAAAAGATTTGTATAAAGGTGTTAAGGATCGTTTAAATCGTGATAATGTTCCTACTAGAAAGAATACTACACAAGATAATATTAAATATATGCGTGAAAAGTATATTAAAGGTAATGATGTTAAGAATGAAGATTTAGATGCTATTAAGCAAATGTTGCTTGATGATCCTTCATTGGTTAAGGATTATGTTCATGTTATTTTTACTGAACAAGAGTTAGGTAAGTTGTATGAAGATGATCGTGATTATGGTAGTATTCCTCTTCCAACTGTTATACGAGATGAATTACATTTTGTTCCTGCTAGAGTTCTTAAGAAAGATGGTGAAAGATATTATGCTCCCGATTATTATGTTGCGGATAGTAAAGGTATTGTTATTGATCCTAAGTATCAAAATCAGCTTTTAAAGAATGGTAATGAATTTGAATTGTTTCCCGAATCTTTGGGTGAATTACTTCCTGATGATCTTCAAGAGTATAATGCTCGACGTCTTACTTTTATTTTTGAGCAATTACCTGATGAATTAAGGCGTCATATTAAGACCGATTTTACTATTGATCATGCTGCTGCTTATCGTTATGCTAAATTATTGAATATTCAACTTCCTAGGGAATTACTTACTGGTAGTAATGATGATTATTATCATAAAATTAATTATGGTATGCGTACTCATCAGCGTATTGGAAGTGGTCGTAGATGGTTTGAAGCTAGTGACTTTGAGAAGAAGAGTAATCTTATTGAATATATGAGAAATCATTATATGTGGAATCGTGATGGTGGTGATAGATTGGTTTATCCCGATGATCCTAATCGCAGTGGATTTAATTATCTTAAGGATCTCGGTAGTTCTGAAAATGAAGATGAATGGGGCAGTGTTTTATTGAAAATTAGTCCAACAGATCCTGATACTTTTAAAGTGTATACGCGACCTGATGGACGTAAAGTTTTTGTAGAAAATAAACAAAACGAAAATCATATTTACAATTTGAAATAATCAATTATCTTCTTTTTTAGGCTTTGTTTCTTCTGCTTTTTTATCTTTTATAATAAATCTATTCTTGTATGGTTTCTTTTCTTCTTTCTCTTCTTTGTTTATTTCTTTCTTTTTCTTTGGTAGCTCCCACATTAATCCTTTTTTGTTGGCTATTCTGTATACAAGAGACCAGTATGGTTTCTTTAATGCTACCTTCTCTTCCGCTGATGTTTCTTCATCAATTATATACATTAATTTATTCATCGTTTCGATGAGTTCTTCATCTCCCATCTCTTTGTACTTGCCTAAGGCGAAGTCTGCGATGATGTCTCTAATGCTTGTAGTCATGGTATGATTAAACAGATTAAATGGGTTCTTTAAATACTCAATTATCTAGTTCTAACTTTATCTTCCCCGCCAATTGTTGATGTGGCATAGTCGAATTGAGGATCTTCTAATGGTTCTACTGGTTCTATTGGTATTTCTGCTTCACTATCTTCTTCTATAATTAGATTTAACGGGTAATCGTTTTCTTCTTTTTCTATTTCTGGTTTCTCTTCTTTTTGTTCTTTTTCTTCGATTGGTTCTTTTCTTTTTGTAGAAGGTGGTTGTTGTATAATTATAACTTCTGATTCTAACATTAGTAATCTATAATCGTAATCATGGAGTGCTTCTTCTTGCCATCGTTCGATAAGTTCTTCGGGAATTTCTTCTTCTATTAATAGAGGATGACGTTTTAAGTACTTCTTAATTTTCTTATTAACAAATTTATTTATTTCTGTTATTTTATTTATAGGATCTTTCATCTTTTTGATCTTTTCTTGTTTTCTTGTTTTTCGTTGGAGTTTTCTTGATTCTTTAGCTTGTCTTGCTAAATTACCTTGTGTTCTATCATCAACTAATTGAATTGGATAATTTATTTTCTTCTTTTCTGAATTATGTTTAAAGTTATGCCAATATTTAGCATCTTCTGGTACAGGATCTAATTTTATTTCTTCTGGCATATGGTCATCATACCATTCTAATTCTTGTTCATCATCTTCTAGTATTGGTTCTTCATTTTCTACTTCATTTGGTATATCGACGGATTCTAAAGGTATAAAGTCTGGTACAGGTTTAGCTTCTTTTAATACTAATTCTCTTTCTTCTAATTCGTTTAATTTAATCTTTATACCTTTAGAATCGTCGTCAGGTTTATTACCGTTGACGTCATCATTATTTTGTATTTTCTTGGGAGACTTCTTTTTCTTTTTCTGTTCTGGTTTAATTATCATTTGTTGATATGGTACAATCTCTTGTATTGGTTGTTGAGGTGGTAAGTTATTAATTCTAGGTGGATTAAAGAATGTTGATGTTAGTTTCTCTTCAAATGGTCTTTTAGCTTGGTATTTAATTTTGCCTTTTCCATCTTCTCTATTATCTTCACTATCCGAAGAACTATCATCTCCTCTTTTCTTGTAGTTATCATTAAAGAAGTCATCTAACTTTCTGTATCTTTTTCTGTTCTTTTCATCTTCTTCATCATCATCCATTGGTTTTATTTCTTTATATTGTTTTGGTGGTATTATAAAGTTATCAGGATCTTTAACATCTTTATGTATTTCTATTTCTTCTTGTAATGGTTTTTCTTTTAGTTGTTGAAGTACTTCTGGTATTCTATTTTCTTCAATGTTATCAGCTAATACTATATTATTTTGTTTATCAGTTATTATTACAGGTATTGTTTCATCTTCTTGTTCTGTTTGTAATAATATAGTTTCATTTCTTTTTCTTACATCTTCTTCTACTCGAGTTAGAGTGTCAATTAATTCATTTTCATTGTCTATATCTATTATTCCATCGAGTATTTTTAGCGTATTATCATCATATGTTAATACTTGTTCTTGATTATTTGGATTAACTATTTCATATGTTATTGTTTCTTCTTCTGGAATGTCTTGTTCTTGTTGTTCTTCATCTTCTTCATATTCTTGTTCTTCATGTGGTTCAATGATATTTCTAAATTCTTTATTATATTCTTCATAATCTGGATCATCAAACATTGATTCTTCTGTTTTATTATATTCTTCGTCAATTATATCTGGTTTATTTGCTCTCTCAGGTTCATTGTCTGGATCAAAATAACTATTTTCTGTGTATACATTTGGATGTAGATCTACATCATCTTCTTCTGTATACTCTTCATCTCCTGCATCAGGATCATAATTATCGTTAATCGAATTTAATGAGTAGTTATTTGAGTACCAATTATTTTTTATACTTCCATAACTACCCCAACGTCTTCTAAATACGTTTGGTCTATACCAATAGCTCATGTTGAATAAAAAATAAAAGATGAGTTATAAAAAACAGTTAATTAAAATTACCTGTATTCCAGTTATTTACTAGAGCATCTGGATCATCTTCACTTTCTTCTTCTGTACTATCTTCATCAGCTATTCTTATTTTCTTTCCACTTTGTACTGTTATGTATCTATCATCTCCTTCTTCTGTTATTACGTTTTTAGTTAAATCGAAGAATCTCTTCTGTATTTCGTGATCATCTTCGGCTATTCTCTTAGTTGGTGTTATATCCTCTGGTACTTCTAACTGGATTGGTGCTGGCATACTTTCTTGTTCCATTTGATCTACTATATCTTCTAATTCATCAACTGTAACATCTCCCATATCTTCGCTTACTTCTTCAATTTCATTCTCCATTAACATCTCAACTAGTTTGGGATCCAGTCCATCGTATTTCTTTTTATCTTGTATTACTTCTACTTTTGGAGGTGGCTCTACATACAATTTCTCTTTTGTCTGTAATACTACGGTGTTTTTCTCTAGCCAATCGAAGTCTTCAAACTCTTTGGCTCTTGTTTATAGTGCCTT